AACTTAGTTTTCTTTCCCAAACCCATAATCTATTTATCATCATAGTTAATTTACCACTTTTATAAGGATGTCACTATTGTTACCCTTTTCTCGCGCACCTCTATCACCTCGAATTTTCCCTTGAACTCGTACACTTGGGATTAAAGCGCAACGGAAGTCGAAGGTTACATTGACGTTTATATATTGGTATTGACTCTCGGCGGCTTCACGTAAAGGTTCTTCTCTTTTCTCAAACCGGACGTACAAACACTGTCCGACTTCAATAGACTTGCAAACGATGTCATGACCCGGTGAACTTCCGATTGTTGCTCAAGATAAAAATAAATACGTGAGGAAGAAAAGGAGTATGTCAATTTTAGAAGTATTTTGCTTCATATTCTCCTGGTAGAATAAATACTTATCCAATTTTTTGAAAATTTCATAGCTTGAAAATTGCTACTTTGCGTTTCCCAAGAATTTGTATTGAGACAGATAAATTAAAAGTATGTGCGAAAGTTCTCTCATGATTTGAGCTTACTAAATGCGTTCATATACGAGTACTTCTAGTTATGATAATGTTTATCTTAGTCATGGCTTCTCAAACCAATGGAAGATCTCCATTCATTTCGGAGCTAAAGAAGTAACCTAATTTGAGTTAAACCTTCTCTTCCATATAACTCCATATAGGATTAAATCATTTAATTGTGAATTACAATCATCATTATTTTGTAGAGTTCTCTGATGTTTAGGTACTTTATCATCCATAGTTTCTTTAGAATCTACTTCGTTTTTGGACATTAATAAGTGGTTCTACTATTTAAGGTCTCCACATTTTGCGCTTGGTTAGAAAAGGTGTAGAGTTATTCTTAAGGAGATTTTTGGAAGGCTTTAGCGAAATCGAAAAAGAAGACGTACTGGATTTAAGAAGGCGTTCACTTCAATTTTGTCCTTAATGGAAGTTGGTGGAACCCTTCCAATACTTCGAGCATACTGCCCTAAACCACAAAATAATAGGAACATAGCTCGGTCATTTTCAAGAACTTGTTTCTAGCAATCAAGTCACTGACTATTTTGAGCTTAAGACAGGGT